CCCATGTACCTCTCTATGTCTTTCTCATCCTCAATGCTGCCATATTGATCACTCCCATTTGGTACATTGCCCTTCTCTTCACCCAAATCAATATTTATCTCCATCTAACTCTGTGTGTGTCAAATACTTTTTCCTACTTTCACTTCGTAGCTCAACTTTCACTTTCTTTATAGTGTTTTAATATTTACAGAGTAAGACTTACTTATCTTTTCTTTATGACTTTTTGTATCTTGTTTAAAAATTCCATCCTTAGTGAAAAGCATAAAGACATCATCTTACATTTTCTTTTAAAAGTTTAAAAAAGTCTTAAGTTTCCACATTAAGTTTCTAATATCCATGGAATTTATTTTTGCTCATCAATTGAGGTAAAGATCTAATTTAATTTATTTCCTCAGATAGTGTCTGGGCAGTGTAATGGATAAGACTTTTAGTTCCCAACTAGAAGGTCAGCAGTTCAAACCCACCAGCTCCTCTGCAGGAGAAAGATGACGCAATCTATTTCTGTCAAGATTTACAGTTTGGAAATCCAATGGGGATCTCTATCAGTTGGAATCAATTCAACAGTAGTGGATTTATTTATTTATTGGTTTAATCTTCTGTGTATGTATCAAGTTACCATTTATGTATAAGTTGATTTTAGAATTCTCTTACTGTTCCATTTTCTAATGTATTGTGCCAGTATACACTCTAGTAACCTTTCTAACTTTGTAGTAAATTTTAATACTTGGTACAGCAAACTTCCCCTAACTTGTTCTACTTCTTTAGGAGTGTCTTGGCTATTCTTGGCACTTTACTTTACCATGCACATTTTAAAATCACCTTTCACCATAAAAAAGTTTTCCATTTCAATTTTATTTGGGATTGCATTAATCCACAGATTAGTTTAGAGGAGAATTGACATATTTCTGATACTGAATCTTAATATCTACAACAGTAATATAGTCTTCACTTATTTGTATCTTATCATTTTGATATAGAGTTTTATGTGTTTTCTTCTATAAAGTTCTTATATGTCTTTTGTTAAATATAATTATTCATAGATATGGCCATTTACTTCCTCATTTACTTATGAAGAAAGTGGTACTAAGAGCAATTAATGGGCTTATCTTAAGTATATTTAGATAGAAAGTGAATAGGACTCTAATCTGAGTCCTAATCTAAAGATGAAGTTTTTTTTTTTTATCCCATTCTGCTTTATTTCATTTGTATTTGAGATAAATCATGGATCACATCATATCTCCCAAACCAGAAATGACTAGATATATCCTATATCCAGATATATATTTCTCTTTTTCAAGGGTATACCTCTTTAGTCTTGAATCCTCATGCAGTAAATGTTCTGTTTTATAGGTGTAGCTATCCCTAGACATCAAAAGCAGGCTCATTCTCCTTTACTTTTTGCTTGCCTTACTTGTTTGTGGGGAAGTCTTTAGATCATTTGTGGAACAGTTTCTGCTCTCCTCCTCTCGCTCTCTTTTTTTAAATTTTTTTTTATTTTTATTCTGTCAGCCTTTGAGTGGGCTGGTGGTGGACGTATTTCCCATTTGTCAACAAGAACACAGTGGTTCTTAAATTAAGGATGGCTTGAATTTTGCAGCCAGTGTTTACAAAGTGAGCTTCTGTTCACACTAATCATTGCTAATGTCCCCTTGTTGATGAGCAATATTCCTGGCATGTAAACACCACTGGAGATTCTATTTACCAGCCAACTCCAGAGTTTTTTTGGCTGTCATGACAGATAGAAAAAAATTAAGTGAATTCCATTTATGAATAGACAATGTATAGCCTTTTGAAAACACCAATTGCCCCTTATTCCAGAAGTAGGTCATTTATGAAGATGTAAATATATAGACACTTGAAAAATAGATGTAATAGAATTAAAGCTTCATTAAAGAATAAACACTGACAGTAGCTCTTTCCATCCACCTTTGTGGAGGGGTAATGGCATACTGCAGTGTAGTGGAAAAACAAATCTTTAAATAGCTTTGTTCCATTTCTGAGACTGGAGGTTGGGGGAGCACAAGAGTGCAGAGTATTAGCAGCCAGGAGACATGAGGGGACTCTGGAGAGAGACAGGCCCAATCACAGTGGTAAAAGTACTGCTGAAGATGTGGGTGGGAGATACCATGAGAGGTGGGGTAGTTGAGAGAATATGAAGGCCAGAGGTGTCTAAAGCTCTGACCCTTTAGCAACATTTGCTTCCCTTACTGTGGTGAATGGTCCTTGGAAAGATCAAGGACAATAGGAGGGGTCCATGTCTACTTGGCCCTGTAGTGGAGAAAACCTAAGAGCAGAGATAGGGAGAGTGGGGGTTCAGAGAGACCAGGCAAGATGGAGAACACAAGCTTCTGGTAGAAATTATGGGATAGGGGTTTAAGCTAATCTGATATAAATTTCAAAGTTCAAGAAGAACTCAACTGAGCTGAACAAAATTGGGCTTTGCCCATACTGGTAATGTACCACTTTAGGACATGTGGCTGGAATAGTGCTCTGAAGGCAGAACCATGGAAGGAGTATGGTGGAGAGAAGCTATGCCAAAGGCTTGAATTTGAGTTTATGAGTTTTTCATTGTGAGTTCTTCTTTTAGCACCCTCCTTTCTAGAATGTCCTTCCTCCTCCCAGGAGGAGGAAAGAGCATGATATAGAGGGTAAACATAGCCTTTCTGGTCAATCAGATATGCACATGAATCCTGGCTGCATCACTTGCTACCTATAGAAATATATGCAAATTTCTTAATCTTTGAACTTGTCTCACATTTATAGAAGATAGATAATAATATCACCTTGCAGGGTTGCTATAAGAATTAAACAAGATAATGTACAAAGGACATATGAAATGGCAGACAGATGTTGTATCTTTCTTCCTGTCTTGTCTGTTTTGATCTTTGACCTTCGTTCTCCCTACTTCTCTTCCTCACCCCACCCTGAAATTCTGGAAGTTCTGGACCTTCTTAAACCTTCTGGTTCCACCCTACTTGACCTGTCCACCATTTTTCCATAGTCATGCACTCTGCTAAGTGACAGCCCACTTACATGCCTGTATTTTCCACATTTCCTGGTCAAGATAAGATGCGTACTTCTCTTGGGCCCTCCTAGAGGCATTGTCTTCATGAAAAGGATCTGCTCTGTTGATGAGCATTTCAGGAAGACTCAGAAAAGAGAGATTTAATGACAGGTAGAGACACCTTTTGTATCCTCATCTCAGCCTCTAGGTGCTTTCTCATTGCCTGTGATAACTAGAGATATTTCCCATTATGATCCTACCTGTATATCAGAATTTATTGTACTTGGTGATTATCCATTCATTAAACATGTGAGTCTTTAACTTGCAGAGGTTTAAGGATTTATAGGTTCAAGGGGAAAAAAAAATTATATATAAAACCAATCTCAGCAAGGGAGCTCTCAGAGTCCAAGCATGAAGTTTATAAAAACTATAAAGAGAAATGCGTTGAAAATGACTTTTTTTTGGGGGGAAGACACAGAGTTGATGACAAAATAAATATATATACAGCTAGCATATTAGGCATTTGACTGTTAATCAGAAGACTGGCTGTTCAAACCCACCAGCCACTCCTTGAAAGGAAGATTGGACAATCTACTTTCGTAGAGTTACCATCTTGGAAACCCAAGGAGGGGTCGTTATGAGTCGGTGCTGACTCAGTGGCAGTGAGGTTGAGGGAACATATATATACAGGAGGAAGCACAATCTAGAAAGAAGGGTGGTAGGTGGCTAAAAGAACTCATGCTGAAAAACTTAAAAACCCAAATTTAATTCTTTGGTGTGAAGTTGAAATTTGGGGAGGGTATTAGTGGGCTATCTCTGGCTCATTCTTGTGTGAATGGTATGCAGGGGTGGTCAGGAAAATATGGATTTTTCCTGACTGGCTTAGGGTACATGATCTTTCTATGGTAGACTCCCTTAAGTTTTATGACATTAAGTTTAAGTCAAATAGAAAAGTCTGTCCTTCTGTTTTGCCAAATATGTGGCGTTCTCTGAGTTTAACCCTCTGTTTTCTCCCCAGTGCCCTCTAAGGTACTCCTTTGCTATACTTGGAAAATGGATGACCTTTAAATCCTGGCTCACTGGCTACTTTGAAGGTCTCTCTGTGGGCATAGGTTGACCAGCCCCAAGTTCCCCCCTTCCTTCTCCCAGTTTTCAGAGAGACCAAGTGGAGAAGGCAAATCTTGCCTGGGACAGCCTTGAGCAGGCCTGCTCTGCCTGCTGGGCCTGATATAATAGCACAGGCTTCCAGGAAGTATGAGTTCATATTTCCCAGAAGAAAATCTCTGTGCAAGCAAAATTAGTCCAGAGTTGAGCAATATCAATTAAACACTTACCTGAGCAGTTGGAAATCACTGTCTCATGGGCTTTGCTTTTCATCCAAATAGTCCGAATTACAATGCCATAGATGACACTGTGGAAAAGATCAAAGACAATATTGAAATGACTGGTGGGTCCCTTCTGTGAGGACATAGAGAGATGACCATTCCTATTACCCTGATGGTGAAGTGTGTAGGGAGGAGTTGCTTGATGATGCCTGCTACCTATACTTGTTGAATATAAAATCCTAATAGATGAAAACTGAAAGGACTATAAAGATCAATTGGATGCAGCTACTTCCTTTTTAAGTGAAGAGGCTGGGACATGGTGAAATATTTCCCCATGGTAACACAGGTGGTTAGAGGTACATCCAGAGTTAGAATTCAAGACATGAGCTATAGAGTAAGAAAGACCTGAATTTGTAACCAGCTTTACCACTTGCTGGTTGTATGAGCTTGGCGTTAGCCTGTCTTAGTGAATGGTGAAAATGATTAACGTCCTCAGCTGCTAACTGAACGGTTGAAAGTTGAAGTCCACCCAAATGTGCCTCAGAAGAAAGGATGGGTGATCTACTTCAAAAAAAATCAGCCATTGAAAACTCTGTGGAGTGCAGTTCTACTCTGAAACACATGAGGTCGCTATGAGTTGGAGTCAACTTGATGGCAACTGGTTTTAATATGAAGGAGAGACTTTGTCTCTGCCCCTGATATTTCTGCCTTTATGTAATCCACTCCTTTGAGTATGGGTAGGAGTTGCAACTTACTTTTAACCAATGCAGTGAGGTGAAGGTGATGGGAAGTATGTAATTACATAAGAGTGTAGCACATGTCAGGAGCTCTGGTGGTGCAGTGCCAAAGGCATTTAACTCTTAACCACAAGGCTGGCAGTTCAAATCTATCAGCAGCTCCTTGGAAGGAAGGCTGGGCAATCTACTTCCATAGTTACACTACCTCGGAAATCCAAAGAGGGGTCACTATGAGTTGGATCTGACTCGACGGCAGTGAGTTTGGTTTGGTTTTGGGTAGTACATGTCTGACTAGTATCTTTCTCCATCTCTTTCTTTCTCTCTCTCACTCTCCATTACTGGCTTTGAAGAAGCAAGTTGCCATGAATCCTATGCTACAAGAAAATTAGTTCTGCCAACAGAAGATCCTTCTCCCATTGAACATCTGATGAGAACGAGCCCTGGCTGACACCTTGATTGCTGCTTTGTGATGCCCTGAGCTGAGGATGTCCAGCTAAACTGTACCTGGGTTTCTGACCTACAGAGACCAGAAGACAATAACTGTGTGGTTTTTAAGTGACTAAATTTGTGACAATTTTTTATGCAGGAAAGGAAAACCAATATAATGAGTTTCAGTTAAGATTCTGAAAAATGGAATTAATAATACAAACCACTTAAGTGTTCCTTTGAGAATCAAATGTGGTCATACTCAAAGCATCAAGCACAGTGCTTGAAAATGAGTGGAGACTATAAATGTAACGCCTTCTCCTCTCCTATTTTTACAATATCACATCCACTCTTGCCTGATATAGTCTGTGGCTAAAGGAAAAATAGTATTAATGATTCAAAATCATCATAAAATTTTTTATCTTGTGGCTTCTTTGATAAATATTTAAAATATATACCATTTTAAGATGTTGTCTGATATTTCAAATGTATTAAATACCTTGACTAAAAGCTTTGGCTAAAGCATTGCTTTATTTTAAAGCTGCACAGTCCTTCCTCTTGAGAATTACTGGTTTAAAAAAAAAACAAGAAACCAAAACTGAGCTCTAGTATACACTAGCTGACAAAGCACTAAATGCTTTAATGACCTGCAAGAAAAGAGCTTAATTAATGACTGTGTGAAAGCCTTCTGCTTTCTTATTGCTATTCCAGTTTTGCTCAGCAATCCCCTTTGAGGCCTTCAGTAAAGCACAGGCCTTTTTGGAGCATTCCCAACTTCCCCATACATACACCTGCCCAGGGGACTTTTCTGAAACATGTACATTTACATTAAAGAGAAAAAAGAAAAAAAAAATCACTGAATATTTCTTAGAGCATGAGAACTTTCTCTTCTAGGTAATTGAATTGCAAGATAAGATTATAACCACATGAAATCCTAATAAACTGAAACCACAACCAGAGAGTTGATTCTGACACATAGTGACCCTGTAGGATAGAGTGGAACTGCTCCATAGAGTTTCTAAAGTTGTAAATCTTTACAGAAGCAGATGACTTAATCTTTCTTCTATGGAGCATCTGGTAGGTTTGAGCCACCAACCTTTGGTTAGCAGCTGAATGCTTTAGCCACTGCAGTACCAGAGCTCCTCTGAAACGTTGATAGTGTATTACAATTGTGACCCCAGTACTTAGCTGATTAATAATTCAAATATTTGTTGACCACCAACTGTAAACATACGTACAATTGAGAAATGAAAAAAAGTCTTATGTGTTAGCAGTGCCATCACTAGGGTTGATGTCAGTAACTGATAGTGTCATCCCCCAACCTCCAAAGACCTCCTCCCATACCAGACCATACAGAATCATTAGTAATGTTTATTATCAATTTCAATCAGAATAATATATAATTGTAAATTGCTTGAATGTACTATTTCTTAGATTATATGAATGTTGTTGTTGTTAAGTGCTGTCGAGTTGGACCCGACTCATAGCGACCCCTCCTTGGGTTTCAGAGGCAGTATCACTATGGAAGTAGATTGCCCCATCTTCCTTCCGAGGAGTGGCTGGTGGGTTTGAACTGCCAGCCTTCTGGTTAGCAGTCAAGTGCCTTAGGCACTAAGCTACCAGAGCTCCTGATTATATGAATACTAACAATAAAATTGTTTTGTAAAATCTTTGTACATTGAATAACAACATTATTAGTAGCAGAGCAGAAGCCTCTTTTGATTTTTCTCCTTTCTTTCCTTTAATTACTACTACATGCTCAAAAAAGTTATTGATGTAGGTTCACAAATACTAATTACTAATTTGCTTATACACCAGAAAATTTGACAGAATCAGTGACTATAAAAAACACCAGTAGCAAGGAAAACAAAATCACATGCTTGTAGAGCTTGCAGATGAAATCACTTGATTCAAAGTGCCATTTTAACCGGATAATAATGATAGTTCTGACCGGCAAGCATTTGAAGGTTCAAAAAGTCAGTTAGCATAGAGTTTTATAGCCTTGTATGTATGTCGGTGCATGTAAGCTGGGCTTGTGAAAAATGCTTCTGTTGGTATAACTAACTTCAGGGATATTCTTATAAAAAATAATACATAATAACTTTCAGCCAAACAATACACAAACCTATGAGCTGAACAACTACACCAAGGAGACACACTCCTTGGAACAATCAACCATGGGAAATCAGAAGGGCAACATTTGCACAAGGAGAAAGCTAGAGGGCAGGAATACATATACAAGAAGGACACAGGAAAAGGGTAACCACAGGGAGGAAGTAGGAAGAGAGCTGTTGTATCCTGGGTTTTGTAATCAGTGTCTCAAAACAAAATGTATATGAACTGTTGAATGTGAAACGAATCTGCTTTGTAAAATTCCACCCAAATCACAACAAAAAGTGAAAATAAATAAATAAATTTCTGCTGAAACACTGCACAAAAATGTTATATTGACGTCAGCCCCTGTGAAAGTGTCACCCAGTGTAGTCTGCCCCTCCTGCACCCCTCTGGTAACACCACTGTGTGTTAGGAGTTTGGACCTAAATCACTCCTTTCCACTCTTCCTCAGGACAAACCAAGCAAGCGGAAATACAGCTTTACTGTTTGCTGGACAAACAACTAATAACCAGGGAGATTCTCTCATTTATTGTTCAAACCAAGGCACTTTTCAGTGTAGTGGTCAAACATCAAAGAGACTTCTGAATTGTATTTGTCTCCTTCTTCTTCCCCCTTGCCTTTATCTAATTATTCAGCGAGCTCTGTGGACTGTTCCTTCAACATGTCCCTGTAATCTCTATCTTCCTCTTTATATCTACTCTTCAGACCCTCATGAACAATTGCCTGATGGCTGTACTTTTTTAGACCTCCACTTGGCCATCATGTAATGCTCATGCTGCCATCGGAATTGGAGTTCATGTTGCCATTGAAATTGGAGTTCTAGTACAGAGAGCTTACTGGCCCTGGCTTAAAGATTCTTCAGCAGCTCTACTTTCCTTAAAGATCAAACCCAGTCTCTTTAGCCTCCCACAATCTATCTCTGCCTTCCTCACCTTTCTTATCATCATCCTGCCTCACCTACTCTGTTATCTCTCCATGCACTGGCCCTCTGTGTCTGGTAGCCTGCCAGGAGCAGACCAACCAACAATCCCTGATTCCATGCTTATTAGACAGTAGAGTTCTGATAATGAGAATTCCGTCACCTTCCATCTTCCTGTTTCTGCTATGTCTTCTTCTTGGAATGTATTTTCATCTTTTTTTTTTTTTTTTGTCCATTTTCTGTAGATCCCTTTGCTATGAAACCTTTCTTAGCTTCCTTGTTCCTAATGAAAACGAATTCCTCCTTCCTTGGGACATTCATGATGATATAACATTTGCTACACTGAGATTGTCTATGGTAATTAAAATCAGTGAGATCTAGAAATAGCCTTTCTCATAAACAGAGCTGAGGAAAAGCATGTCCATTCTCTTGACTACAACTTCTTCCACTTTTCAACCCATCCTCATTCTCTCAACAGGTTTGGCTTTTCTTGATACTTCTAGAAAAATCAGAAAATGGAAGGCTTTCACAGATTGAGGGAAGTGTCCCCTCCTTGTAATAGGGTGATTTATTTTTCAATTTTGTCAGCCTGTTTTCCTTTGTTTCCTTGATAGAGGCAGCTTATAGGAGTAGAAGGGTGTGAAGGCCCAAGTCCTAAGAGGGTCTTGCTGAAATATTTCAAGAGGATTCCTAAGGCCAGTTCCTGAATCTAGATTCTGGATTATTTGTGAGAAGTACCCAGGAAACAACAGAGAATTTGCTTTATCTACATTGCTTTCAATAGACAACATTCCACTCAGACCATAAATGCCCCTCCCTGGCCCCCTTAGGGCCCAGCATAAGGCTGAAGACTTAATGGGCAACCATTGCTGTCTTGGAGTCAAAGAGC